CTGGCGCAGGCTTACGTTTTGAGCAAAGGTTCTCCAGAGGTTTCCAATTTAACGGGATAAATCCTATAAATTTTATAGGATTTATCCCGTTAAATTGGAAGTTTTGCCTGTACAGAAACATTCATTTGACGGTCTTTTAGCCTGTGTTATGTCTGAAAAACTACTCCTTGCTGTTATTGACAGGTCCAAAATTCAAAAGAAGATTCGTGCAGGTCTGAACTGGTACTGTATAAGCTGGAAAAGGGGTTTAATTTCTGCTTTTGCCCTACTGTTGGTGACAGTTCAAGTGTTCTAAATCATAACTGACAAAAAACCACAAACAAAACAAGTTCTCATGAAAGCAGCAAGAGTCTTGATTTCTGTGCTCTCACGCAAAGTTTTGTGGCACATCTCAACTTTCACTTGTTTGAGACCTTTAAATGTCATTTCCCAACCGTCTTTCATAAGCCAGGGTAATATTCACACTAACCACACCTGTCAACACCTTTCCTTTGTTGAGATGCTTCATTCACTAAACAACATGCCAGTTGCTTTTGGCAATGAACTGAATGTTTAATTAATGGTTTATTATGTCCTGCATAGATTTTTCTTTTCATGTCTATAGTTTCTGGAAGAGACAATATCATCCGGGTGTACACACACAGGGCTGTTTCTTTTTATGTCTAAATGTAAAATAACATATCTGACCATAAATCTAACCAGCTTTTGAACAGGAAAATATTATTTTCCTATTTATTTATTAGCTGTATATTTTGAAAATTAGACTCTTAAGAGGTTTAATGTGGATTTTATTACAAGGTAGATGAAAGATTAAGTTATAATGGATTATAAAGGTCTGCATTCAGGAGCTGCCACATGAATGAATTAATTGTATGCTCATGCATACTTTTTGTCACTGTTGAAATCGTTTTCTTTGGAAGAACCCGTTCTCCTGGGAGTAATTTTCTTCAGTCAGACTTTATGATTGGAGCAGTGTTTCAATCATTAAATAAGTAATCAATTAACAGCTTTTTGTTTAGTGTAAATAAAGATATTGATTATGATATCTGAGCATGTCTTTTGCTGTCACCCACTTTAAATCTGTTTATTTGGCCTTATGTTTTAAAGACTAGACGCTTAAGAGGTTTGGTATAGAATAAAACACAAGTTAAATAAATGATTAGATTAAAATGGAGCGTAAAGGTCTCCATTCAGGAGCTGCCACATGAATGTGACGCTGCTAAAAGACTGAATTGTACGCTTATGCATAATTTTTGTCACCGTTGAAATAGTTTTCTTTGGAAGAACCCGTTCTCCTGGGAGTCAATTTCTTCAGTCAGACTTTGTGATTGGAGCAGAGTTTTAGGGTTTTGACGCAACCAGTCCTCCCTGCGCGCTCTACCTGCGCGTCCCCATAAATAGACGTCCGAGAGCCAAATACGCAGCCGTTGGCTTCAGGTCCTCAGCTGTCATATTCACATCGAACAGCAGCTCACGTCTGAGGCAGGCAGGACGCTTAAATAGAGCAGGGAGGGACTCGTGGTTCGGGTAAGAGGAGGCGAGGGAGGCTTCTCCTCTGTGTGAGTGTGGTCGTTGTGCTCATCACGATCTGCGCTGTTGTGTTGGGAGTGACCCTTGCTCAGAGATCAGACGGACCTAAAAGTAACCATCCAAGCAGTCATGATCTTAACTCATTCTCTCATGGGATCGCGGAGTTTCAAAAGGCGAGGAGCAGGAACAAGGATGAATTTAAAAATACCTTTCTGGAAAAATGCCAGAAGTTCAAGAAGTCACAGAAGTAAGTGCTGTAATTCTAAAAAAAATGTTCCACAATAATTTTCTCCCATTGTTTTCTTTGGGATTTTATATTTTCAACACCAACAGACAACAATCATAAAAATTAAATAACAAATGGAAACTAACACAAATTCTTTATTATATCTGTGTGGTGACCTGTCGAGGGTGGACAGCCTGGACAGGTCAATTATTTCACAATTGACTACAAATTGGCATTGCTTCCATGGCAATGATCTTTCAATGATAAATACCATCTTGTGTTTTCCAGGACCAAGTGTGAACAACTATGGGATGCCTTTCAAAAGGCCTACGTGAAGAAGGACCCTTGTAAAGTTCCCATGGAGGATTATGAACCTCTCATGACTTTAGCTCCCATTGAACCTCTACAAGACAAGGTAAATATATATAACACCAGTGTTTTGTTTTTTTTCTGTAGAAACGCGTGTAATTTGCAAGCGTAACCTGATTAATGATATGATAACTTTAATCCCGGGTTAGGCGATGTTCTGGAGCAAAACAAAGGATGTGGTCCACGACTTCACTAAGAGGACGGACTGTTTCGTCACGGTGGAGGACAGTCTGCTGGGATCTGTCCTGGATGGGCTCACCTGGTGTGGAAAGGAAGGCAGCAGTGGTGAGATTGGCCAAAATGCAAGTCTTCTTGACGGTTTTTGTTCAGTTTCACTCTTAAGTCAAGACAAAAAGTGTAAGAGCAGCCGTTTGAAGGCTGAATGACTTCAAAGCCTGAATCACAAACCCATCACTCAGGGTTTGCTTAGTGGGTGGGGGGGTTGGGGACACTTCATGACCATCCGAAACGTTTTTCACATACATTTTCATGCATTAACAGATATTTTTTAGGTAGGTTTTTCTTGTGTCCTTTAATGTTTTCGACCCTGTGCTTCCAGGTTTCTGTTAGGCGAACAGTTTACTGACTTTTAATGTGTTTTGCTGTTGTTATAGAAACACTGACCACCGGCTGCCCAGACTGGAACGAATGCCCCAACAACACCGTTAGCTCCTTTTGGAAACGCATCTCGACTGCTGTGAGTAAAAGAAAAAAACTTCTCAGTTTGTCCTCAAAGATGCAGGGATGCATCAGTTAG